GCATTTGCTTAGGCGAAGGGTTAAATTGGCCTTCTTGAAGGCTTCGAGGATTTGGCTCAGCCGTGTAATGGTATCATCCCAGTTTTTCGCTGGAATCAGCACATCATCCAGGTAGCACATAGCTATCGTTCCCCTCAGCGGCCCCAAAACGTGGTTCATAAGACGCTGGAACACGGACACCCCCCCCCCCCCCCTATCATTCGTGAGTCCAAACATCATCCTCTCAAATTGACCGGTCTCGTCCGGAGTGATGAAAGCTGTCTTCTTCTTTGCATCGTCACTCAAGGGAACCTGAAGGTAGCCGTGAGCGAGGTCGAGAACTGTGTACATCACTGCTCCGGATAGTCCTTCCAGTTGATCATCAATGCTTGGTAGGGGGTATTTTTCTTTTACGGTCTGGGCGTTCAATCGTCGATAGTCCACCACTAGACGCTTCTCTCCGTTCTTCTTCTGAACAAGGATCACGGGACTTGCGTAAGCGGAATGCGTCTCGCTCACAATTCCCTCTCGTTTCCATTCGCTGACGATCTCGCGAATCGTTTCTCTTTCGGCCACGTTTGTTCGGTAAGGCCGAAACGCAACTGGTGAGCTTCCCGGCACTTCCGGGATGTCCATTTCAAGGACATTTGAGCACCCAAGCTCGCTCAAGTTCGTAGCGAAGCACTCCCGATACTCGTTCAGGAGGTCAAGGAGCTCATTCTTTTGCACCTTGGTCACCGACGGACCTACTTCGACCTGATTCTTGTCTATCGGCTTCCGAATTGCCGTGCCCTTGTTTCTCGGTTTCGTAACTCTCTTCCGCTCGGTTTCTCTGGTTGTCCTCCTCACCGGGTGTGTTTACAATCTCGACCGCAGTGACACGTCCAAGACGCTGTCCCTTTTTAATGACTACATCGTTATTTCCGCTTGGGAAAACTGGAACAGCAATCTCTCCGTCTTTCATGTCGAGAAGAATTTCTTTTACACAGTTGTTGAAAAGGACGGGGCCAGTGACATCAGATTCTGATGACAGCGTGATCCAATTTATTACGTTCGCCTGGAGGGTGGATTTTTCGGTTGTCTTTACAATCAACTTGGGATCGTCGTTCAAGGGTTCGAGGTGGGAGAAAGGGCACTGACTCTTGTGCCAAAAGCGTAGACATCCGGCCAGCCTAGCATATGTCACGTACGGGAGCTCGGTGAAAGTTCGACCAACGAGCAGGTCGACCGACTGAGCCTCGTCTGGTACAACAAAAATTGTGATGTTCTTCCCGGTAACACCGTCAATATCCAAGTCTGCTTTGCATTTACCAATTGTCCTTACTGCTGGGACGTCCTGGTTGCCGAATCCATAAAGAGGTGTTGCGTCTCTCGTCAGCTCAGCACCGCAACGCGCCGCCGCAGACGCGCGCAAGAGGCATCCGGAACTTCCGGTGTCAATCATTCCAATGAGCTTTTTGTCGCCATTCCATGTGACTTGCTTAAGGAGCACTTCAGAGAAACTCCTCTCTCTTTGAGTTGCTTACGGCGTTGGTCTCACTCCTTGGAGCTCTTTCGATGCAGTGACGCTGAGTGTGCCCGGTTTTTCCACAGCTCAGGCACTTTAGTGGGCGCTTTGGCTCTGGACAGTCACGCGCAATGTGACCGAACCGTGAGCAGTTGTAGCACTTACGCTCACCCTTTTCGTTGTGTATTGGTGATTTCTTATCCTTGTTGTCTCTCTCGTCAACGGTTTTCTTGACAGACGTCATACCCGGATCTCGGTTTCGCGGTGTGTCGGTAGCAGCCCCTTTTTCACGCTGTCCACCGAAGCGCTCTTGTCGCTCCCGATCGATCCTTTCGAATTCCTGTATGTCGTGTAGGAGGTCATCACCGTCTTCGTGTGTTCTCCCCATTAACATGGTGCACAGTTGTCGCGAACGCAAGCCGGTGAGTACTTGCTCGCGAGTATCGCAAAAGTCAGGGGTTTGCCTCTCCACAAAGACGAATCTTCGAATGGAAGTAGGCAATCGTGCTCTCGTTTCGCTGCTGGACGCGGCCTTGCATTCTTCTCCAGCGTTCCGCTGCTCGGGTCTGGCTAACGAATGTTCGTCGAAACTGGTACTCTAGATCTTCCCACGACGCAATTTCTGCATGGCGTGAGCGTAACCAGTCTTTCACAGCTCCTGTGAGATGTGATTTTGCCGTTTCCAGGAGGAAAGGTGTCGGCCACTTATGAAGAGTCGCCGTCCTCTTTAGGTTCTCAATCCAGTCTCGCGCTGCTGCTGCGTCCTCGCCTCCGTCGAAATTGGATATGTTCTTACTGAGGTCAGGCATCACCTGGAACGTCGCCACGCCGCTCACGTCCGCTGTGCCTGACTGCGCCGGAAGGGCAAGTCGTCCCAAGAGGTCCGTTAACAAACGATCCTTTTCTCGAATCATTCCCAAGAGCTCGTGCAAAGAAAACCCGTTCCCCATGGAGTGAGCAACTTCAGGCGAACCCGCCTGGCTCGGAGACGCTCCCGACGTTTCCTGATTCATGGTGAAGGGTTGAGCTGTGTACATGTAATTACACCCAACACACACGCTCGCACAAACAATATAAAGCCACAACATAATACACTACATCTCATACGCAAAACGAAAACTCTGTTGATAAAGAGTTCCACAGGGAGATGAAAAATCCGACAGTACCTGAACCTTGAGTTCCGCACAGTGGGAAGCCCCCAATCGCAGGCACTCACACACACGTCGCCCACCTGTCACACTGTGGGTCGCTCCAACCTGACTCTGATCGCACTTGACTCGTCGATCCAGGGTCCACGGGATTGGATGCCTGACGCACTTGATTCCTTGTGTCACTCTTCGGTCCGCTCTTTGTTCCGAGGAGTTGGGTGATAATCCCAGTTCTGATATCTAATCGTATGGTCGTTTCAAATAAAATAACTTGTTGATAATAAACGAGGTCTTGACGAATGGGTTTTTGGAATTAAAGAAATACTGGATTTAATATTCTTGATACAATTTGAGTTTACAAGACGGACACTATTGGTGGTCGCGTACCACCATCGCACACACACTCTCGCTTTGAGTCCCGCTGTTAGACTGCCGCATAGTTTCCTTGAGCAGCTTGGTCTCGCCCAAGGCTGTAACCCGATCCGCATCCTGCGCGACGCCAGCCAGTCGCGCCTTCATGGCACGGGCATCCACGTGCGAGATTCCCGGCGCCGAGGAGTTCAAAATAAAACACAATCTTCTGAGAACTGAACCTTGCGCCCAGCGAAATAAAAGAAAAAGGCAGAACACAATGGCGCCTGCTTGGAATGCGCTCGGCGAAATAAAATAAAAGAGCCAGTACAGAATGGCGCTCGCTTACACGGTTTAAAAACAAATTCTCACTAAAGAATATTTTTGGGGGTAATATTGGGGGACGCCGTTAGACGCAATTTAGGTAAAGGTCACAGCCCGCTCTAAACCCCGCCCACAGATCAGTGGCCCCGCCCTTTGCTACGAGGCTGGCCTGGCTGCACGACCGAACAGGCTAACGAGCGCAGTGTCTCCCTTTCGCGTCGTCCGGTGCGTCTAGACTGGAAATCTAACACCGCCTGCTAGTCGTGCGAACAGACGAGCGGCAGCCTCCGGCATTGTCTGCTATTTCGCCACCGCCTAGCGTCGTCTGCAATGCCCCTGGGAAGCGGACACGAAAGCTGCACGTCGGGGTTCGTTTTCGCCTCTGTCCGTCTGCTATTCATCCCCGCCTGAAAACTTCTTCGACGCTAAGAAGACGCTACCATGAGAGTAGCGTTCTAGCGATTCATTATTCTCGAGCCACGGTCCAGTAGACGAGTCTTTCAGCGTGTCGATGCACTCACTAAGCGACCGAGACAACTAAATTATAAATCAATACATATATATGTAGTCTTTCTAACATTACCGTTCTTTTTTTTCAATTTTTTTCTTCTCATGGCAGCCGCGAGCAAGGTGAGTGAGCGCCATATTGCAAAATTGAAACACGACGTAAAAATATTCAATTGTGGTAGACCAGCTGCACTCCAAAACTTAAAAGCTTGCCTTTCGAGGCGCGATAACGGGAATATGCTTAGACAAACTTGGTGCGAGCCGAATTACAGATTGTCTCCAACCAAATGGCTAGCAAATACTGTGCTGTGTAGGTACCCTGTAGGTGTAAAAACCATGGTCGCAATCACGACGGTTGCACTATGCATAGAACTGTGTGGCCGCTTTCGGGAACCAGCATCTCTATTCAAGATCAACACGCGCAAACAGGGCAGATCAAGCCAGATCAAGCAACATACTTGACGCGAGACGCCAGGCTTACGGCAGACCCGCAACAAAAAGAGCTCTTCCGAAGGCGCGTACTTGTGACAGTTGTTTGCTGCAGACTACGTCGGTTGAGGAGATCTTCGTGTAAACTCCTCGGTGAACGCAAAACGACTAGCACACCTAAGAATAGACGAGCTTCACGAAGTGCGCTCGTTGAGCACTCCACACTCGCCAGCATCCATGTTCGTTATCGTCATTGCCGAAAACGCAATCGTGGGATACTTTTTAAAGCAATAATGACTTAATCTGAATTATTTGTTTCCCATACCTAAAAAATATTGTCGATTAAAATACTATTACGGTACGGAGCTACAATTTTACAACCAACATTTCACACGTCAATCATCTTTCCATGAGGGCCGAAAAAAATGCTTATTTATATAATCACCGTTCGGGGCCTACAGCTGGGCTAAACCCCCCCCCCCCTCCCCCCCTTTTACGTTAAAGTTAACAGCGAAAATATTACTAAATGTTGTTTGCAAAACAATTACAAAACAAAAAATCGCATTTTTTGTGTATTTGACATCTTTTTTTATAATGATTGCTTGATTACAAGCTACATTCATGCGCAAAATGGATGAAACTAAATTTATCTTTTTTGTGATATTTTCGGTTTTATCAGCATTTAGATGAAAGCCGCATCGCGATTCTAGCATTGCTACACACATACATACTGATTCTTCGTTTCTCCTGCTTAGGTGTATTTCCAGAGGAAGCTATTGTGTTCCCAAGACTGCTCGAAGAAAGGTCAGAAGGAGGGAAGCAGATAGTTCTGGTTAACAAAGACTTGCACCTTGAACTACAAAAAGCCTCAATATTAGCCGGAACAGTTTTGATTGAAGGCTTCTCTGGGGGAAATTTCGCTCTGAGAATGGTAGGTTGCTGCACAAATATGTATTTATTTGACGCTTATTGTTGACAAACCACGGTATTGGAAATAGTAGTAAAAGAAAACTGAGCACTGCAGTTTCTGGATTAGTAGGTAAACATTTTATTGTTACAGTGTAAACTGGTATCCCAGTATTCGCAGCTTTTAGATTTCAAACATAAAAGCCAAATTGCATTGAGAACAGATAAATTGGTTGTAGGCTATCTGTCCTTTACACTCAATATTTATAATACCGCGTGTCCAACTGCTGTGACTGTGCCGATGGCTGTATTGAGGCCTGAAGCTGGTGATTTCTGAAAATCTGCTACATTTGAGCTTGAATCGAACAAATTATTGACTTGAATTATTCCAATCTTCCTGTTCTTTTTTTTTTTTTTTTTAATCTGCGGCCCACAGTGCGAATATTTCGTGAAGAAAATACTCCACCTCGAAGAGTGAAAACATCTGCCGACCGAATTATTTCGGTGTTTATAATGATAAACATTGCACTTTTTTTTTTCCAGAAAAATGGAACGGAGTTGGAGGAAAATCTATACGAAGACAGAGAGAAGTTTGCTTCAGTCATAATGATCAAGAATGACGAGGGCATTACATTGGTAAAATAATGGTTTTAGGTTAGGTACAATAGAATAATAGCATAATGATCTTACCTCGTAAATGAAATAATTGGCATTAGATGTAAAAAAATCTGATGTACTTTTCTCGACGTGCCACACCCTGTACAAGTGAAAGCGTTCCAAGGCTAAGTTTAGGGGGAAACGTACGGGACATTCAAACCTTGTCTATACTTGGAAAGTAATTCGCTTTGGTTTATCGCGACGGTAATTCATGATGTATTGATTTGCAAGAAAACAAAGAGCGCCACTGTACAGCTCATAGCAGATGCATTTCGAATAGACATCCTGTATGGCTGCCGACGTGTGGTTAAAGTAAGTGTGAGCTTTCCTAAGAGGAGCCTTATACAAAGCTCTTGAATTTGGGATCTGCAGCTGGCGTTCTTGTTACACCAGACTTGAACCTAAAAATAGACTTGCGCTCGCCAGAACAGCCGCAGTAATGGTAATTCCAGTACGTCAATTTAAACGGCCAACGAGCGAAGAGCCATCTGATATTAAGAGGAGCGTAGAATTCTTCTGAACTTCTCATGTTGATGTTATCAATCACTGGCACAGATGTATGTCGTCCCGTACCACTGATCTCTATGTCCTTTTGATGGATAGCATTTGACCAGCTCCGCCTATGGACGGGAATGCAGCCACGGTCGGCCATCTTTTCGGTAGAGTTATATTATCTCTAGCCATCATAGCAATAAGCGCGGACAGCGCTATGGCGGCAGGCTGCCATACAATAGCCGTGGGTCTAGTACACTGTACCGTGGGTAATAGTTCGTGCTTCATCGAAGTTCTTTGACGAAGTAGATTTTTGAAATCCGGTGTAAACGGCGGCCCCATGTTTGAGAACCCGGCAAAAGTTCTACGAAAGCGCAGTACCGGGGGAAAGCAACATTGCTTTCGATACTTCTTTCGATGCGATTTTCGATGCGTGCAGTCCTGCTTTTCCCCGGTGCTGTGATTTCGTGAAACTTTCAACGGCTCTTCAAAGATCGACTTACCGTTCATGCCAAGTTTCAACAATATGCTTCGTCGAACAATTCCAATCAAAAACGAAATATAACCCACGGCTATTATTATGCCAGTCAGCCACCACAACTCCCACAACGCTGTCGGCCATGGATGGATGATAGTGGCTGCACCAGCTGTACATTGGCTAGAGGTAATATAACTCTACCAAAAAGGTGGCCGCCAGTGGCCGCATTCGCGGAGCGGGCAAACACGATCCAGCAAATAGACATAGAAATCAGTGTCCTGTACTGACTTGCGGAACAGCAAACAGACAGGCGAAAGCAGACTCATACTACTTTTTGTAATATTATAGATGTTGGTGTTACTCTTTCGGCGAATAAGCATCACATTACACAAGACAGGATGATTTAAGAATACCCGCGTATATGCCCGTTTTGGGCGAAGTATAGGCGAGCGGACTGTCGGCAAACAAATCCGCCAGGTGTAGGCACTGCGCGTGAGCAGAAACCAGATTCGTGTGAACTGAAGCGTTCGCGCATGCGCCGCACCGACTACGGGGCCACGGGAGCAGCGTGACATCAGAGCCGCGTGTTTGTCTATATAGCCGTGTGTTTCAATGTTTTGTTCGGCAAAAAAAAAAAAAATTGATACGACCAAGTAGCTAAGAAGCCACAAAGAAGAAAATGCAAAACTTTTACAACTCCCCCTAAAGCCGAATTAGAGCACAGCTCTTGAGGAGGAGGAGGGGAAGGAACGGAGGGGACGGTATGCCCCTCCTCCTCAACTGTACCCACTCCTCCTCCCTCCTTATCTACTCCTCCCGTGCTCCTCGCCTCCTCCCCACTCCTCCTCCTCCCTCTTTCTCCTCCTCCCTCCTCCCCCTCTCTCTCCTTATCCCCCTCCTCCTCTGCCTCCACCGTCTCCCTCCTCACCCGCGCGGTGGGTTATGGAAAACATCCCGTAATGCAACGCGCGCGTCACCGCGGTGCATTATGGGACGTTTCCCATAATGCACCGTGCGGTTACGCCAACGGCGACGTCGACGCGTTACGGTCATGCCGACGGCGACGGCGACGCCGACGTGTCACGCCGACCCGTTCCGCCGACGCGCTACGGTTACGCTGACGGCGACGCTGACGCCGACGGCGACGCCGACGCCGTTTAAGCCCGAAAGGGGCGCCTAGAGATGCGGTCTAAAAAGAAAGCTGTGGCCAAACTTGCGCCCGAGCGACTAGATCTTCTTTCAGCACTGCACATCACTTTTTAGAGCGCAGCTCTTAGGGGCCCGTTCCCGGCTTGAGCGGCGTCGCCGTCGGCGTAACCAAGGTCATCCAAAGGTCACTTGACCCCCGAGGTCATCCCAAGGTCAACCCAAGGTCACGTGACCCCTCCCCAAGGGTAACGTGACCCCAAGGTCACGTGACACCCAAGGTCTCGTGACTTCCCAAGGTCACCCCAAGGTCCCGTGACCTCGGGTCACCCAGGGTCACGTGACCCCAAGGTTACGTGACACCCAAAGTCACGTAGCTCCCCAAGTCACGTGACCCCCGGGGTCACGTGACCCGGATGACGTCATCAGTGACGTCACTGATGATGTCACCGGCATCCGCATCGTCATTGTCATCATCACTGATGACGTCATCAGTGACGTCACTGATGACGTCATCGGTATCCGCATCTTCATCGTTACTGATGACGTCATCGGCATCGGCATCGTCACGTGACCCCCCTAGGTCACGTGACCCCCACCCAAGGTCACTTGACCCCCCAGTACCCTTCCCTCCTCCTCCTCAAGAGCTGCGCTCTAATTCGGCGTTACAGGGAGTTGTAAACGGCTTTCACTTTTTCTGTTCACCCCTAAGCCGACAGTGCCGGGAACCTACGTACACGAGGGACGAGTAATTCGTGCAACTTTCGACATATGATCTCTCTACCGTAGATACCCAGGCGCAGTGATCGGTCTCAAGTGATGAAAGGAAGACGGTTGGTTGGTTCAGCGAATGCGTAGCACCCACTACATTGTTAGTTTAAGGATGAACAAAATGTAATGAAATCGAAACACCAGATTCGTGTTCACTTACTTTTAAAGAAGTTCATTAACAAAGTAGTGGCAAAGTAACTTGTGACGGATAAGGAAAATGAATCAGTCGGTCGAAAGTAACTGCTAATACATCGATGTTAAGAATGAGTAATTAGAAATAGTATTCAATTACAGTATCTGAGTGCCGAGCCAAAGTATGTCAATTGCAAAACGCGTGATCTTACCCCCTTAATATATTGAGGTATAAAAAAGTTATGATAGTTAGAATTACCTCAAATGTCTGATAAACGTGTATTATTTTAGGAAGGAATACTTACTGAACAATTAAAAATTGAGCCCTTGCCTATGGTGCAACGAATGCCTGGGAAAGGACTACCCCATAGGATTTCACGGATTGAACTGCCTCCTTTGGCCAAGGCTTCTTACAGTGGTATGCATCACGAATGATTTTACACGCTAACATGCATCGACAACAAAGGCAATTGTATCATGATAATGTTTGTACTTTATCGACCTTCATGACGTGTTAATCTACTACCCAAATTAATAAAAAAACAATAAACAGACCGATAAAGTTTATACCGTAAAACAGGGCTGGGCAGTATCGCGATACAAATGTATCGCAGAGTGTTTCCATGTCGCATCGTACAATGACTGTCCGGGTCATATCTTCGCTAACTCTAAAAATATATGTGAAATCCCGGTTCTTTGGAGGAATATTCAGCTATATGTGAACGCTGCAGCTAAAATCTCCCTGAGGTATAAAATTGACAAGCTCGAAGAGTGGACATTGCCGAAATTTCGCTATAGTAATTTGCACAGTAGCCAATGTCACACCAAAGCAGGCACGCGGTTCGATTTTTGTTTTGCGTATATTTTGTAGTCAGTTTGCGAAACGCATGCTATATATTTAAGATTTGATCAATATTTCTTTGCAAAACAAGAAATACGAAACACGTAAAAAAACACGACATAAAAATTAAATAGCGCAAAGTTTAGACAAAGTACAAGGGACAGAACATGTACACAGGGCAAGCGCTAGTTGGATATGCATGATATAAAAATCAAATAGCGCAAAATTCAGACAAAGGACAAGGGAGAGACCATGTAGACAGGAATAGCGCTTGTCCTATCTACATGATCTGTCCCTTGTCCTTTGTCTAACCTTTGCGCTATTTAGTTTTTTATATCATGCATATCCAACTAGCCCACCTCAATATCTCAGTAAAAAACGCGTTTTAGAGGTACATTCACAAATTATTTTGCAATAAACACCATTATGCGAAACGTCGCAAAATATTTTAAAATGTGCGTTTTGAGACGCAGGTAATGAATATATAAAACATATTTGCTGAGCCATTATTGTAATATTGTTATTAATTCGAAACCTAAGTAATTTTTCGAAACGTAGCGAAATTGCACATCAATATTTGAGAAACTATCTTTTACTTCCTTTAAACTGTCCTTAACTCCTTGCATTATCATGAACTAACTTGAGATGGCTCAATATTTTGTAGCATATAACTTTGAATTGAGAAACCTGACAACAAGCCTTCACTCGAATTGAGCTAGCTTGTCTTCGTTATAGGGGTTTCGCCGCTCGACGTCGGATCCAAAGACGTACTCTCACTGATCTCAATGACAATTGCTGGATCGCGTTTGCCCGCTCTGCGAATGCGGTCACTGGCAGCCATCTTTAGGTAGAGTTATATTACCTCTAGCCAAGGTACAGCTCCTGCAGCCACTGTAATCCATCCATGGCAGACAGCGTTTTGACAGGTGTGGTGGCAGGCTGCCGTCAAAATAGGGTAGATGATATTTCGTGCTTGATTGAAATTGTTTGACGAAACATGTTTTTGAAACCCAGCTGAACGGTAGCGCGATCTTTCAGGACCCGGTGAAAGTTTCACGAAATCGCAGCACCGGGGGAAAAGCAGCACAGCTCGCATCGAAAGTCGCATCGAGGGAAGCATCGAAAGCAGACGCCCTTACGGAGTCTGCTTTCGATGCAAGCTGCGCTGCTTTCCCCCGGTGCTGGGCTTTCGTAAAACTTTCTCCGGGCCCTCAAAGATGAGGCTGCCGTTCACGCCGGGTTGCAAGAATCTGCGTCGTCGAACAACTTGAATCAAGCACAAATTATCTCCTACGGTACAGTGTACTAGATCCACGGCTATTTTATAACACCCGGCCGCCATTGCGCTGTCCGCCATATTACTATGATGGCTAGAGATGATATAACTCTACCTAAAGATGGCCGCCAGTGACCGCATTTCGGTCCATAGGTGGAGCTGGTCAAACACGATCCAGCAAATAGACATAGAGATCAGTGCGTACTCTCTAGAACTGACAAAGTGTGTGCTGCAGTGCTGGTCTATTGCAGAGCGCAAGATATCGTCATAACTTAAAACCATGGGACTAGAAAGAATAAAAAACGGACAAGACAAAATCTCAGAAACAGCTAAGTTGATATATAAATCAAGAAAATAAAACATTAGTACCAAAGTTTTGACCAGACGTGGCTTGACAGGCTAAATCCCTACAACACTAGACACGCTTCCGACAACGAGCATCCGCCGCCGAGCACACGTAAAGATAGTCTCCGCGAAGACTACGATAACCGACCGATTTCCTAATCTCAGGGTGTTCGATCATGATGTTTCCTAAGTAGTTCGTTTGCCTGCGTTCACTTGACAGAATGTCGTGGTGTTCCAAGCTTTGTTTCCAAAGAGTGTCGGGGGATGTCACTGCTGCCGGCAGCTGCAAGCAGCATGAATGGCAGATCTGGAAACTCAAGCACGCACACAAGAAACGTCGGCCACCGCGTAAACAAAGCGAAAGAAGTAGTATCCGGGGGGTCGCTATCTTAGAGTTAGACATTGTGAGGTGGAAAACAAACAATACCGGCTTATCACTTTAAGGTGTAACGGGAAGTGCAAGGAATCTAGATAGAAATCGGGCACCACAAGTACGTTTTCTGGCTGTAAGAATTTCACCACGCTAACAAAATACTTGGAGCCTAAAGAGAGGCATTCAGAAACTCTCGCATTAGCATTTAGAGAGAACATGTCAAAGAAGAGTTCTCTCGTTTTGTATATACAGTGACTGACATTCCTTGTGTGCGCGCTTGAGTTTTAAGGCAATCTTCCATTCATACAGTTCGCAACTGCCGGCAGCAGTGGCGTCCGCCAAACTGCTTCGGAAATAAGGAGGGAAGGGGGGGCGGGGGGAGTTGGCTTAAAGGGGTGGGGGTGCAACGATTTTAAGATTAAAAAAATATGCATCTCATCATTTCACGTTCCTTACTGTGTCCCGAGGGATGGAGAAAACATCTCCTTCATTAAAAAATGTCGCGAATCGACTGCATAATCGCAAGCAAAAGTCGAGCTTTTTCCCCCACCTGAAGCCGCAATGGCAGCCGAAGGAACTATGGCGAAAAGATGAAGTGACCTCGGTCAGCTCTAAGGTGCACCATAACGCCCGCTAATGTCAGCAGAGAGGGGGAATTAAGCGTCACCCGAGAGAGCACACGGGAAGCCACACGGCACCGCGAATTAGGTCACTTGGAGAGGGACTGGGTGTGGCCCTGAAGACTGGGAGTGAGTTTAGGAGTGCCAGAAATGAAAATATTTATATTTTCTTTACACAACAACTAGGACACGAAGGCAAGATCTGTTTTATGTTCTTTATTTTAGAAGAGTCAGAGGACAACTTCCACAAATATTTGACCGAAGTCCGGAAATCATTGCACCCATTGCACAAGAGGAAACACAAGGAAACAGAGAGATAAAAAAAGCCTTCAGCCTTTCCACCCTGATGAAGATGGAAGACCAGCGAAGCTGTAGTATGGTCGGAATGAAGTAATGCCCGTCCGCAAGTCGGCAAGCCCGAGTGGAAAGGCTAGAAAGGTCTCCGCCACCTATGAGTGACGGTGGCAACCCGGCAACCGCAAGCCGGTTGTCTGATTGCCGCCGTCGCTCATAGAGGGCGGTAGCTGTCCAGAGTTTCGTATCATCATTTGTTTGCTGACGGACACGGTACTGGGGAAATTAGCCCTGAACAGCTCCGCTGTAAGAAACAAATCTTGGAACGGTATGATTTTCCGAGAAGTGAAAGCAGGCGAACGAGCTGGTTAGGAATGATCATAATCTTACGCCCTGAGATTAGAAAGTTGGGCGGTTCTCGTAATACTGACAGAGATTATCTTTGCGCGTGCTTGACGGCGGATGCTCGTTTTTGGAAGCGTGTCTGGTGTTGTAGAGATTTAGCCTGTCAAGCCACGTCTGGTCAAAACCAGTTGGCGACGTCATGTTCTGTTTCCTTGAATTTTTCTTGCTTTAGTGTGGTCGCAAAAGCTCAGCTGTTTCCGAATTTCTGAGTTGTGTTGTCCGCTTTTTTATGCTTCCTAGTACCATGGATTTAAGTTATGACGAATTTCTATGCTCTGCAAACGAGCAGCGTCGTTGCACACACTTTGTCCCTTCTAGAGAGTATCTCTTTGGAGCAAACATCGTGCGGCAAAGCCCTTATAACGTAAACAAGCTAGCCCAATGGGCGTGAAGGTTTGTTGTTGCTTTTCTCAATCGGAGCTCATATGCTACTCAATATTTCGCCATCACAAGTTAGTTCAAGTTACGGCAAGGAGTTAAGGAGTGTTGAAAGGAAATTAAGATGGATTTTCTAAATATTGATAAGCAACATTGCAAGTTTTAGAGAAATGATATTAGTTTCTGCCTTCATATGAGAACTACAATATTGGCTAAGCAAATATTTTTTTTTATATTCACTCGCTGCGTTTCAAGACGCACATTTGATATATTCAGCGACATTTGGCATAAACTTGTTTGTTGCGAAATAATTTGTCAAAATATATCTAAAACGTGTTTTTACGTGCTTCGTATTGTTTTTGCATAAACATTTATAATTTATTTTTTAATATTTTTTGTGCATGATTGAAATTGTGAACAATATATATATATATATTTATATACAACGGGCATGGTGGTGGGAGGCCGAAGGCGTGGGTTATATATATATATATATATATATATATATATATATTTAACTACGTGCTTGCTTTGGTGTTACATTAGTGGCTGTGCAAATGCTTTGATGAAATCACGGCAATGTCCACGCACTGAGCTTCGCAATCTTATATCTCAGGAAAAATGTAAGTACGGCGGCCACATATAGCTAAATGTTCCTCCCAGGAACATGGGTTTAAATTGTATTGCCGCGCGCCAAGTGGGCAGCGCGGCCGTAGCCTAACGGTTATCGCGCTTGCCTCCCGCGCGAAGGGCCAGGGTTCGATTCCTGGCCGCGGCTATGCATTTTTGTAACACTGTAATGTGATGTTCTGGTGAAATCGAGAACCGTCTAGCTGATTCGAGGTCAGAATGTTCTACGCGTCGAACCGTAATTGTTACTACTTGT